CTGGATGTTAGTCGTACTGGTGTGGGGTCGCCATCCTGGGGGACAAGATTTAGGACCCCAATGGAAAATAAGTTTGACAGTCTCGATGAGCACGACTTTCTTGGGTTATCCTGGGTGGCTAAACCCTCGGGGTTAAAAATCCGTACGAAAGCTTATCTTATCTTATATCTTGGCTGTTGTAAATGGTTTTGGTTGGTCTTGATGTACTTTCCATTTTAAATTTAATCTAAATAGGCTCAGAATGTATTTAATTAGACCTTAAACAGCCTCACACCGCCACCCCCCACCCACCCCAGTTGGAAAGGGGTGCCTTCGCTTACCCCGTAACTCAAAGGGGTCCCGCCAATCTGAAGAGCCTAGGGACCGGAGACTTCTTAATCCGGCCCTGGACTCTACACGCTATCTACAGGCCCATTGCCCAGCCACTCCCTCTCTCCACTCCCAGTCGGAGATTCCTCCAAGGTGTGTACTGGCATGGTGTATGGCACACTCTTGCAACGCAGCAAAACCCCGGCACTTTCATACACACTATTAACGAACTATTCTGATGACACAACATGCCTTGCCTTCAATTTTTCGGACTCCATACCTTCAGGCAGCGTCCTCAAGATCCTTCCCCAAGTCCTGACTTTAATGCCCCTGACAGACTGTCTCATGCCAAGCAAATGCTCCTGTAATTAAACTTCTATACACTTCCCACCTGACAAATTGATCATGTTGCCTCAACCACCGTTCGCTCCCACCTCTCCCAGACCTGCTGTTACACAACATTACACCTTACGCTGCTTCCTTTCGACCCTCAGTCAACTGCTACCAACATTGTAGATTTCCCAATGAATCCACTCCAGAGAGGAAAGATAACGACGACTCCAGTACCACCAGGGAAAACCTTACCTTTTACCTTTCTCCTTCAATACTGACACATGACCTGTACTGAACTCTACAAAAGCCTCGGTGCTGGAAACATTCAAGTTATGCATGTGATTCACCACTTCAACTTCACACTCACCCGAGTTCTTGAGGTTCATCAAGCCTCTACTTTCACTTCAGTACCAAGGCTAAACTATACCTCCTATCTAGTAGCAGCTTCAAAAAATTCGTAAATGGCTCCATTGCTAACCTGCCGCCTCTGTTATATATAATTTTCATGTGTTGACCCTCTGATGTGACCTAGCCTGCTGCAAGCTACTCAAGATTCAAGACTTCAACTACCACAAGTTCTATGCAACAGTCCCTGCTATTCTTTCTCAGTCTGCCCCACGATGCCTTAGCTGCTGGATTAAGCCCTGGCATCTGTTTCTCTGACTAAGAACATTCGCTTCTCCAGAGCTATTTCTTCCTGTCCATCTCTCCCCGCTCATAAAAACAAAATCCCAATTGGGATCTTACCTGAACTTGTTTGCTGCGCTTGCTTATGGCGACCAGGAAGTAGCGGCTTGTGATGGGACGGGCAGGATGTAATGACATTAATAACAAAGTCATCTTCCATTTAGGAAAAAAGGAGTGATAGGATAGCACCCACAAATAGGATGCAATGGACCTGCAAAAGAAGCTACAAAAAAATGGAACACTGGATGGTTACTGATATGACAGTTCACATTTTGCATTAGCTAGATGAGATGATCAGGCAGGTGAAGGGATGGTCAGTTATGTTATGGAGAAATACCAGATCAGTAACAGGAGCCTATCAGTATGGTATAACTTAATCTGAACATAGATCGAAAGTTCTCGAAGCATGAGGCATTGTACACCGTTAATTAATTTTTTTAATAATAAAAAAAGAAGCGCAAAACCAAAAGGGGCTATACAGTGTATCACGGTTAAAAAAAAAGGACTGACCAAAAAAAAATGATTTTGCAATCCTTTTTTTAAATTATTTAGAAGTGACGGAGAGCTGGGGATACAATAAAAATAGCCCATTAACTGAAAAATCTCGGGCGACTCAACATCGATGCGGGGAATGTAACAGACTTCACGTTTTTATGGATATTTTCAGGGTTTTTGGGAGTATGACCCGGGGGGGGGGCCCAGGAGCTGAGCTTGATCTCTTCAACCCTCCTTTTCAAGGGGGGCCCCTTGGGTGGTAAAGGGGTTTGGTCTGAGGAATTAGCCCTTCGGTCTTCCCAGACCAAACCCAAATTTTCCCCCCCAATTTCCCCCCCTATCCCATCCCCCCCTTTTTTCCCTTTCCCTCCCCCTCCTCCCCCCCCCTCCCTTTTGCCCTTCCTCTTTTTGACTTTGGGGGATTTCCCACAGGGGCTAGTTCCTGGTAGGGGAAAGGGACACCGGGGTCCTCCCATTCCGTTGGGGTTTCTTGGCGGTGGGTAGTTTGCCGGGGAATCTGGATCGCCTGGGATTTTCCCGATCCCTTCCGGTATCCCGGTGTAGCTTTGGGTTTTTTCGGGCGACGGGTGCATTTTGGGGAAGCCCCCTTTCGGATTCCGGGGGGGTGGCAAAGGAGGTATGTTTTTTTGGGGGGTATCCGGGCCCCGCCCCTCCTTTTGTCCACGGGGGTAGCCGGAGATGTGGGGTTTGCTATCCCGGATTGCGGGTTTTACTGGCATGAAAGGTAGGGTAGGCACAGGTTCCAGTGCATCTGCGCAAAAGCGGTGCTAGGTCCTCTTGGGCGTGGGGGGGAGATTTCGGCCCCCTTTCATTCCTCCTGGGAACTATTCCCCCGCTCCCCCTTTTTTTTATTCTTTTTTTTATTTTTAGTTTTTTTTCCCTTCTTTTTTTTCTTAAAACAAAAAGCAAAAGAGTAAACCTAACCATGGAAAACCCCAATCCATAAAACCCACTACCCCCGGGCCCCTTCTTGATACTACACCCCAATTCTGACCCTGCCTTGTATTTTAGACCGTTCTTCGGACACTCCTGATCCCCCGGTACCTCTTGCTGGTGCTGTTTCCTCGCCTCCCTTCAGGCACCGGGGCTTCGACTGACTCTTCGATTTGTTTTGAACCCCGCTTCCTTTGACTATGCTTCCGGCTTCTCTCTCTATGGTACGGCAATTTTCGAATCGCCCGCCCTTTTTCACGCCAGCCCAACTCCGGTCCTACTTCTAAACGCCAACGTCAATCCCCTGAAGATGCTCCTTCTTTTCCCTTTTCCCATTCTACTCGGAAAAGACCGACACGTCAAGGGCACTCCCTCTCCACGCTCAGTTTCGGACCACACAATGGACTAAATCTTTACTTTAAGACCGACTTCTTCTTCTGCTTACCTTTCTGACCATAGTATTGGCAAAGCACTCCTGCGTCATGTTGGTAGAGATATTTCATTTCATGCTCTCAAGAGCGGTACGCGCATTGTCACTGTCCAGAATGCTACCCAAGCTCATGATCTTTCTCTCCTTTCGAATATCGATACTACTCCTATCACTATTGAAAAACTTCTTTCTCTCAATTCTTGTAGTGGTACTGTCATTTTTGCCCCATACCATAATCCAACAGAATTTCCAGCATGTTTGGCAATGACATTCTTGAACACTGGAACTCCAGGATCTCCCATCCCAAAGTGACACTAGTCCTTCCCCGGGGCCCAGACGTTACCCTTGCAATGGGCTCATTTAACTTTTGACAGCGAGAACTCCCGTCCTCTGTATATTCCCCCGACATCGTTACAATTCGAAAGGGGATACTACACCGCAACAATTTAGAAATTGCTGGCGTTTTGGCCACCCAGCGAAATATTGCAGGTCTATGGCCGAATGCCCATCTGTGGTGCGACGACCATTCTAATAGATCTTGCAGTCAACCCCCATCTTGCCTTAATTGTAATGAGCTCACCCTTCAAAACTCCCGCTGTTGACAGGTCTACTTAAATGAACGTGAAATCCGTTTTCCTCAAAGAGGCAGAAGGTCTCCTTATGCTATGGCAGTTACTCATTTTCCCCCTCCAAAAGGGAGACTACCCGGTGTTTCTTATTCTCGTGTTTCAAAACATCCCCCCACTTCTGGGGTCCCATCTTCTGCAGGGCCCCCTCTGTTGTTACCCCCCCATAGCCACTCCGCAAATTTAATCCTTTTGTGTCCTTTGGGTCTGACGTCCCGACTAAAACTCAGTCTGTTCTCACATCTTCGCGTCCTTCCTCCCCAAGCCCCAGTATCGACAAGACCTCGTACCCTCGTACGAACCTAATACCAATCGCCCCTCTACTTCTCAGAAGTCCAAAAAATCCACATTGCTCAAATCTTCTTTGCCCCTTCCTTCCCTTCTTCCACCCCCCCACTTTACCTTTCCAGTCTCTGTACCTAGTTCTTCCCCTCTCTCTGGCTCTATTACAAGTGTGGAGATTCACCCTCCTCCTCATACTATGCCTTCCACCCCCGTCCCCTCCCAAGTTTCTCCCTCTTCTGCCACCTCCCAGGTTTCTGCCTCTTGTGTCCCCCCCCCCCCACTTCATCTCCAGTCCTTCAACCCCC